AACGATAACAACAGTGGTACTAACGCATACAACTTAAAATTGTATTATTAGATATTACAATTACTAAGTACAGACATGAACGTCCATAATGGTGTCCATTAATACTTATGGTATTCCCTCTCTAAATCAAATGTATATTTATACAGTGTTTATGTCTTGTATCATAATAGAACATTATGAATATCCTCTCTAATATGATCCACTTCTTAGAGTAAAACCTATCTCTGAGTCACTACCAGAATTTCGCACTTTACTGTATACATATGCCAACGGCATTACTCCTCATTTGAGAATCCTTCTTCACATTAAGGAGCAGTAGCGGCTCCGTACAGTATGCATATTGACTTCGTCAGTTCTCAGCTTAGATAAAGAGCCTCATACTTTTCTCGAAGATATTTGCTGGAAAGAAGGAATACCGTCCTTATGCATAATAAAATTTCAATACTACATTGCATGAAGGAACTGGTTCATGAACACCCTACATAAATAAATATAGATACTTCCATTAATACTTACATTAACGGCTCAAATAAAATATATTAATAGACGCTTAGCCTATTTTCCCTAATTTCTAATAATCACATTTAAGCCGGATGCCACTATTCTTCATACATAATCAGCAGTTGCCCTTATATAATGCTACGGATAATAGTTTATAGACAAAATAATTAACAGGTACTGGAAAGATTATACAAAATGAGGCTATGCCTTCTCATATACTATCATTATAGTGATGAGTCCATTTTAGTAAAGCAAAAATACACCAGAAGATTCTTTCAACCCACTGATTGCCTCTTATATTCTTATCAGAACAGGAGAAGCGCCCATTTCTCCCTTTAGGAGGCTTGCATTCCTTCTCTAAATTTTTTTCTAATTCTCATAGAACCCTTCCTCCATATGAATACAAATATATATACAAAGTGAAGATCGCAAATTGACAACCAATAAAGAACATTTAAGATATTCTTATCACAGATTGGGAACACATTTTCTTGCAAATTAATAATAAACATGCTAACAGCTATCTCGCGACTAATTATCTGCTTTCTTCTTCCAAGTAGTAGCAATAAGTTACTGATAGATTTATGATTTAACACCTAAAGGATCATCCGAGTAATGTCTCCAAGATGCGGGTATACAGTATAATATATCATAGTCATAGATATAATTTTATAGAAAAAGCATGTTTATTCAGGTTGCACACAACATTAATACAGAACGGTAATCTAACAATTCCGATATAAACGATGGATTGTCGGCGATGACATTATCATCGGCATATATTGTAAGTATAAGTAAAAAATCTCTCAATTTCGTCTGAACTATCAGAACGCCGCCAACAAATGAGGGCTATTTAAATCTGTGTACATGAAGAAACAGATAAATTAGCACCGCAGTATTAATCTTCTCCAATTCTGACAAGGCTTCATAGCTCTGTCTGTAGAAAAGCAGTAACAAGGTCAATACTATTTATCCCAATCCCCTCGCCTGTATATTACAAGGGTAATAAAGTAGTGATAAACTCTGTTCATCATCATAAAAGATACCATACAAAAATAATAGTATAAATATATAATATTTCTACCTGAAGAGAAGTAAATAACCATGATATCTGTTCTTACCTGTTTTATTATCCTCAATTAGATACAGAGGTTAATTTAATGAACGTCACATATTGCTATATCTTCTATAAAAAGACGAGCATTCGAAAACCCCAGTGGAATTCGTAACCGAAAACATCTCTCGTCTGAGAGTGAAGGAGACAATTGTACAGCACTCCCTCATAATCCCTTGTACTTCAAAGTCCTCTGTAGCGATTCCTTGTGGGAGGGACGGCTCCAGTGATAAATAGGAGTCATTCTACATCTTTTGTGACATTTGAATAAGAACTTTAGAAGGATTGTAAAAAAGGAGACGTATTGTATACCCCCTCCATAAACAAGAGATCAATAAGCAGAATTCACTAGTGAAATCCCCGAGGGGGATAAACATTCTAATATGAGAGACAATCGTAAGAACAAAATCTTACAGCAGTATGGATTAGCATTAATATGGTTCAATATGTCCTCTATAATTGGGCAAATCATCGACGCTTGTATGAGTCCGTGATTTTACAAATATATCCTATAGGAAAAGAATGAGAATAAATCAGCAAACCATATAGGACAACCTGAGTAAAACTGGTGTCCCTCTCTATATATCTCAGTACAGAGAACAGGAGGAGTCTGAGCATTAAATATTCTGTATCTTTATATTAAGCAAGTTAAGATATATTGAATATACAGCAGGTAGTAAAGAGTCTACGAATATATGCCTTATTGTATATTCCCCCGCATATAATAGGAAACCATAAGAGAAAAATCTGAAAGTATGCCTTAAGAGGAAGAAACAAACATCCAATGACTACTAAAAAAAAAAGAATAATAGAATAAGGAGAAGAGAAGGTCATGGAAAAGGCAGACAAGAAGTGGGCTATGATGCCTGAGGGAGACATCCTAAAGGGCAAATTATGAATCCGGAGCTAGAGGCGTCAGATGCTGGACATTGAACAGTACACTTCAAGGAGAGATCAAAGAAGAAGAAAAAGAGGGGCCGAACAACTAACAATGAGGCTTAAGGACCGAATCAAAGACAGAAGCTATCAGCATTTAAGAATAAAGGGGAGGAGAAGAATAAGGACAACAGGTGGGGGGTAATAAGCGATGGACGCCGACTCCATCCATTAAATCCCTGTAGACAGTACATCTCATGCCTATAGCCACCACGTTCAGGAGAATACGGTAGCAAATAGTAGCAGAACATAGAAGGGGCAGTCATGAAGTTTGAGATCTAACAACTAAGGATGAGGAGTACTTCCTACGGATAAACTCTGAACTAGGAGCAGCAGGAATCATAAGGGAGGCAAAGGAATCATCAGAGACACCTGAGCGCCCAAAATATCGTCATGGCCGTATAGCGAAGGGCTAAAACGCTAAATTGGGCAGAAGGAACTCAGGAACCGTCAGAAGACAGCAGAAGATCGCAATAAGTGACATATATGGGGGAAAGCAACTAAGCAAAGATGATTAGACATCCCGGACATGTTAATAGGAAGAATCCACAATAAAATATACAAATGAACCCTCAGTCCAAAACAACACAGCTTAAACCGTACATCCTGAATTCTAAACCCTAAGGATCAGACCGTGAGACCCTAAGTATAAAGATGACGCGTGAATGTTGCATCATGACACCGCAGGCTTGAGCCCTACAGCCAGGGAGTTCAAAAATAAGCCCTAAATGCTGAACCCTAAAACCTAAACTGTACACCCTGAACCATAACCCTAAACCCTAACCACGAAACCATAAACCCTGAATCCTAAACCTCCAGAACCCCAAATTTTAGACCCTAAACGAAATCACTCCGAATCCCGCCGGCCGCCGTGCCCCACTAGTGCCCCATAAGTAACTCCCCTCCTATTATCCGCCCCCCCTCCCCCCCGGTCTAGGCCCCCCCTTAATAGAGGCGCCCGCGGGGTCCGGTGTGGTCTTCCCTTGCTGTTTCCTGCAACCACTATACGATACAAACCATACATACTCATCAACCCAAGACTTAAACCAATAAAACCTCCGACTACTGACCCCAACAACTTCCCCCACTGCTCTCCGCCGTCTGCTGTCTCTGTCCTGCCACCTCCGTTGGGTTCTACAGAATTCTCGTCTGTGAACCCCTGGTGTTGTTGGTCGATGGAGTTCACTTTGGGACACGTTGGACCTGTTGCTTGGATTTCCCCCCTGTTATGACAGAGTCGCCCCTGTTGGGACACGCGATCCTTTAAGTCGGCTCCCTCCCCCACGGGGCTGGAATTCAATGTCAACTTCATCTTTCTGAGGGCCCCCAGGTGTTCTTCATTTAGATTCCCCTTCCTATATGACACGCCCTCTCGCTCCTTATCCGCCCCCCCCTCAGACTGCCTTTCACAAGTTAAGCCCTTACTAGCATTCCTACCCTGACTTATTAGAGACGTCAACATCTCAAAGAGATCGATGCCGCTTAACGAAAACAACGCAGATCGGCTTGAGACTTCATCGCCCCCTACGAACCACTGATCCATGACTTTCTGTCCCAATGCTTCCCCTCCCCAAGCCTTCAATAAACTATACAAACTTTCACACTCATCCTCCTGACCAGGTGTTTCCTCTTCCACATCAGTACCTGTTCCCTTTATTCTAAACGCCTTAGCTACTAGGGTGACTATTTGTATACATATACTAAAGGTAACGTGCTCGCCCTTTGTCGACCTATACGATGCTCCTGCCGCTATTGAATCCCAAGTCATCTTCCCCTTTCTCGGGGTACAATCCGCTCGAGGAAGGTTTGGGGCTAGGAATCCTCTTCCATCAAAAACATTACATTCACTCCCATATGTCTCACTCCCCTTTATATCCACCTGTTCATAAAGTGATAACCACTCCTCCAATTTCTTGCAGATATATGGAGCATAACTGTAGATATTCTGATACTCCTTTAT